GGAAGCCCCTTCCCTTTGCTCCTACCAAAGAGGACCAATCAGGCCATTGTGGTGGCACAGTCGGTTCCTTTGAGCTGTCAGGCTGGGGGAGCTGGTCCACAGATGAATGCTTTGCAGGCCTACGCCAGTCTTTAGCTAACCATGTGGGAATGCTCCCCACCAAGCCTGGACAATTACAGACTGCAGCTAAACTTTTACATAAACTTTTACGCTGTGTGGTGAGAGAAAGTGGAAAGGAATAAAAGTATTAAGATAAAGGGGAAGGAAATGGGAAAAGAGACATTTTCATGCATTTTAAGTTCATGTATTAAGTATTCTTGTACCCCAATAGGTAAAGCATAACTCACAGCACCAAGGTCATAGGTTTGATTTCACCACATACTTGGATGTCTCTTTCACATACTGGCACGTGCATTTATCAGAATAATCTGATAAAAAGATTTGTAAAAAAAAAATGTCATTATGCAAATATATAAAAAACTATTTATATTTAATTATTTATAGATATAAATTATAAAGAATAAACCATTGTTATATATAATATCATTATTTATAAATAAACACATAATAATAACAATAATAATAAAACTGTTATGCATAATCAAATAATAGTAATAATTATTTTATTATTCAGTATTTCCTTTGTTGATTCTAAATTAATATGATGTATGCAATGTGTAAATATGTTAATAATTAATATATAAATTATTTGTGAAAAAAAGGATTATGTATGATTAGTTATATTTTTTTATCTATTTACATCCCTAAAGAAATTCTAAACTACAAATCTTTCATTAATTAAAAATATTTCAGTGATCTTTTCTCTCTTAAAATTAAACTTGGATTTCTTTACTCCCTACAAGCTACTCTTTCTCAAAATCATTCAAGATTGTATTTCATTCTTTTTCTAAACTCCAACTCCACATTCTCACTGTATTATTTGGGGTTTCCCCTTCTGCAGATCCTCCGGACATGCCTGGACTGATCTAGGATCAGTTTAAGCATTTAGCCAATCCAGGGTCTGTAAAAGAGGCGGAACAGTTGGCTGCTGCCACTGTAGGGCCTTTCACAATTGCCTTTTGTTAGTCTTGAGGGGGCGGCCCGGGCGACATGGGTTAAAGTTGACTGGGGTTTAGGTTACATCAGATAAGAGGTTATGAGTATTGGAAGACCAAGAGAATGCAGGGGAATTATAACCACACCAGGAATGTGCAACCTATCTAATGGCTGTGGTAAGACCCTTCGGGGAGCAGGTCTAGGGTCTGTTGTGATAGATGGCTCATTATGGTTCTGTTGAGAGCTTGTGGTCAGGACAGCTTACTGGAATCAGAGCTTATGAAAATGATAATATATATATATATAAACCTGGCCCACCATTGAAATGTCAATTTTGTTAGATTTTCCATCACACTCTGCCTTGAGGACAAATTCTATAAACAGTTTGCTCAGTAATAGTGCAAACACATCATAAAACATAAAGGTCTTTGCCAGGATTGTAGGATACCTGAAAGTATGGAGCATGTCTAAGGATGGGCAAGGCTTAGCCCTCCTCTGGCCACAGATTGCAAATTAAGACTAAATGTTTGCACTAGACTTTCGTTGCTTTCTTTCTGTATATAATTTATTCTCTGTTTGAATAACCGTGGAAATGAAAGCGTTATAATTAGTAACTTAAAATGTTTTTATTAAATTCTGGTACTTGCCTAAAACGACGGGTTTATGATGTATGTAGTCAATAGATTACACCAGGTGTCGGCAACATTGGCATGCGTGCCAACTTTGGCATGCAGAGTGATAATCACTGGCACGCGAATAATAGTGAAAACAGCATACTGACGTACATTTTGAGGTAGTCATTCCTCATAGTCACACAGCTTGTTCGGAGCTATAAATACTATTAAAGCGTGAGAATTAACCTGTGCTAGTCTACAGATGCGCTTGGCTCTGGAAAACCGTTCGCGTGACCGCTGCGCATATGAGGCGATTCAGATCAATGCTGCGCTGTGCTTTTGCATAGGTTAAGTTCGTTTAGCTTCAGTCATGTTTCATTACGCAGCGCTCTGTTTCTTAGGATGACAAAAAGCTTTTAAAGTTACATTCACAACCTGATTTGCTTCAGTGGTCTAACAGTGCTAGTCAATGTCAAAATAATTGAGCTGGCCAATCAAATCAAATTAGGTGGGGTTTACTGTTCACAGAAGCAGAGCATGAATTCCAGAAAATGCAAATCATTTTATGATAGAAATGTTGAATGACCGACAGCTATATCCAGTGACGCAAACTACTTGACTTTTTTCTCAGTCATGGCCATTCCCTCATTGTTGAGAAATATAATGAAGCGATTCAGTATCGAAGCTGTTTTATTAATAAAAGTCATGGGGCAGCGTTGAAAACAAGTTTCTGTGCTTCTGGATGTTTTTGTGTGTGTGTGTGTGTGCGTGAGTGTGTGTGTGTGTGTGTGTGTGTGTGTGTGTAGCGCGATCTCCAATCTCTGTGTGCAGTGTCAATTAAAGCAGTGTGTTAATATAGAACAGTGATTAAACTGAACGGTTTTAATGCACAGTTGGCCCTGTCACACACACATACAGTGAGTGGTGTTCAGTAGGGTCACACTGTAAATCTGTTATTCAAAATCTAATTTAAACATTAAAATAAAGAATATTTCAGGATTTTGCAAAGTTTAAAAAACAATGTATTAAAAAAAAGATATTAATTTAAAAGTGAACCCCTGGGTCTCTAACCCTGAGTGTGGGACTGAATCCTGGCTAGATGAGCACTGCAGCAAACTTTCCAAGACAAACCTTATGTTGTTCAGAGGAGTAATTACCCTCGCCTTACAGAGAAAAATCCACAATCAGTAAGCCAAATTACATCCATACTTTTTCCACAACAGTAAAGCTCTATCCCCCATCTATGTTCATTCCCTCCAAACCCCAAGCCCCCCACCTCTAATTAATGAAGGAGAGCTTGCCATCTGGGAATGACTAACAGTGAGAGAGAGAGAAAGCAAGAGGGGGGTGGGGGGTGGAGACAGAACTCATAACAACAATTAACGATGCCCTGTTCCACAAAAAAAGGACATTCTTTTTCTGACTTCCTGCCATATCACCAGAGGCTTTCATATGGAGTGGTACAACAAAATAAGATCACTAATCAACCAAGACAAACAACACCCACACAACATTTGTGCAACTTTTTGTGTGGAGAAAAATGTTTGTTTCAACACTAATGCTAATGACATTTTAAGGTGTATGAGATTTTCAGCAAATCCAAGTTTTTGGTTGATAGATTCTAGTAGGCCCAAGCCAGAGCTGTAGAGAGAGAGAGTTGTGACAACTCCGTTCACTCCAATGGACCAGTTTTTTTACAGCAATGGCGGATCGTGGAGCCGCTCAATAGTTCCCGGAAGTTAGCGCTAATACTATCAGCGCCGTAGAGATGTATCAGAAGAGACCGCTTTGACGAACTTTTAAAAGGTAAGACATTTATAGAAAATAGTATATTATCAGCACATCTAATCAAATTACCCTGTGCATTAAAACAGATGATTATTAGATTATTCCTCACTTAATTAGTAGATTTACGGGATGTTATTCATTCTCTTCATGCAGTTTCATCCATCGTTGTGTAATTTAAAAGTGATTTTGCTGGTGGGGAGTTATTAAATAGACTTAGATATATTGCAAAGGATGCAGATGGACCAAAGTGAGAATGAAAAGTTTAATGTAGGTGAGCAGTTTTCATTTCAGAATCATGCTAGGCTAAATTTCCAAAAATGTATTATATAATATTATAATATTATAGAAGTAATTACAGTAAACCTGTACATTATTACTGTATTTTATACTTAAACGTCTTAGCTACTAAAGAAGCACTGTGTTGAAGGAGCAGATGCCACAGGACTGCAATGTGATGGAGCATCACTTAACCATTTCTCCTGTGTTTTTCTCCTTCGCTATCTTGCTTTCAGAACAAGAACCACCTGAAGACTGTAAAGAGACATCACCCTCACAATGAGTCTCTTCACTGGTTTTGGCAAGTCTTTCCCTGCTCTTTGTGAAAAAGTGCCAGTTCCCTAGTATGATTACATCACATTTTGTTGGTGTAATCTGTAGATTGCTCCTGCTGACTATATCCAGCCTCTTACGAAGCCTTCAGATGACCCAACACCTGTGAAGAAATATATATACTACGTATACATGTATACATTATTTTATAAATAATGTAAATAAATTATTTTATTGTCTACTAATTACCAAAAATCACAGTTCTGTCTCTCCAACTCAATGTATTTCAATTGCCCGCTATGAACTTCCTGGAACTATTTGAGGTCTACGTGAATCACGTGACGATCGAGCGTTTTGGACTTCCGTTGACGCAACTCTCTCTTTCTATGGCTCTGGCCCAAGCTAGTCAGAGCTGGTCTAGATGCACAATCAACTAGACTACAAGGTGGTAGGCCTGGTTTTGACCTGGTAGACCCTCTTGGTCAAGCTGGTTAGAGTTGGTAGACTACTTCAAACTAGCGATAACAACCCAGGCTTGTTGAACAAGAAAAAGTATCATAATATCATTTTACAACATTTCTGTAAAATGATATTATGATGCTGCTTGAAAGTTTTGAGGCACTTTAAAGTTAAATTGTGAATCGCTAGTTAGTAAAAGTGCATTTAGTTATATCTGAAATGAATATGAATTAATTTTATCTGAATGAATTTGCAAATAACAGAAACGCAAAAATAATTACTTGTTTTCAAACAGGTTTCCCACACACTGCTACTGGTCAGCCAAACAGATATCCCCACCCCCAACTTACATCATTGATTCAGCTGTTCCTGTGTCAAGTTGGTCGAGATTCTCAACAAAACAGAGCAATGTTTGATAAAATTTACAAAAATTACTCTTTTAAACAATTTAAACACACAGAATCAATAGAGAATAGAAATCAAAGCTTGACAAGTAATCAGAAGAAAAGAGAGGTTTAAATGTTGAAGTTGTACCATTGGAGGTAGTGCTGGAGGCCACAGCCTTTTCACTGATTTCTGCACGGGTGGGCACGCTCTTGGTGGCTACAATGGTCTCCACTCTCTTCTTCTTCTCTGCTGTAGAACTGGTCTGGGACTGGGTTTCCATGACAACTGTGCATTCCTCAGTACCTCATCAAGACAGGATACCTGAGGGGTCACGTAAGGAAGAGGTCAGTGGTGGGAGATAAAAAAAAAATTACAAAAATAAACATCATTAACAAATAAAACACAATTAAAAACAATCAGTTAATCAGTCCATACACTAAACATGACTGTTTTTCCAACTTTCCAGCTCCATAAAGAAACCAAATTTTCTATTTAACAATATATCAAAATAACAATTACTTACTTTATAAATATTTTAAGATTAAATAAAAACCACAAATTTCCCTTAAATGTTAAAAATTCAGTTATAATTATTAGAAATGTGTAGTCTATCTAAAAAAATGTTTTCTAATTTACAAGAGTACGTAACAAGAGGATTTACAACACAGCTATTCAAGTTTGGTGTGCTTGAATGGGATGTAACGATGCTGAATGAGGAGGGGGTATATACAAAAACAGTTAACTTTGTTTGCTTAGGGATTTTTCTCAACAGTCACTTGAGTGTGTGTTGACACAATCTATTAAAAATCCTGGATTAATATATATTGGGTAAATTACTCTAAAAAAGTAATTAGATTACTGTACAAATTACTGTCTCCAAAAAGTATTTAATTGCTTATTACTAATTACTTTCTAAATCATATATCAAAGTTAATGAATGATACAAGGACAGACATGAAACGGTTATTTTAATTCTTTCAAATAAATAATAGATAACTACCTAAATTATTCTGGTCACACTTTAGATTAGGGTCCAATTCTCACTGTTAACTAACTATTTACTATGAACTAACTATACTTTTGCCTTAATATACTCCTAATTACTGCTTATTAATACTTAATAAAGTAGTTGTTGACAAATAGGGGTCCTATTATGCTTTTTCACTTTTTGAATTTTAGTCAGTGTGTAGTGTGTATGTTTGGGCATAAAAAAGATCTTCAAATTTACAAATCTCAAAGTCCACTCCAAAGGGAGATATTTCGTTTTTAAAAAATCCCTTTTCAAGAACTACAACGAATGGCTCGTTTGGACTACAGTGTTTGTTTTTCCGGTTTTTGTGATATCACAAAGCGGCCCATTAGAATATAATTAAAATAATTCCCGCCTATGGAAATTCTAATGGTTGGGGGGTGGGGAGGGGCGAGGTCGTGCACTGTAAAATCCAATAGTTTACCTTACTTAGTTTTACAGCCACTTTTAACTAAATGTAAATATACTATGCGCTGTCTCAAACTATACCTACCTCTTCCGGTTTGTCTGATTTGTCGTTGTGTTTTCTGACTTGTTATTTTGTTTTCGAATTTGTCATTGTGTTTTCTGACTTGTTATAATGTTTTCTGAATTGTTGTTGTGCTTTCTGAATTGTTATTTTGTTTTTTAGACTTGCATTTGCGTTTGTAATTTGTTATTTTGTTTTCAGAATTGTGATTTGCTTTGCACTTCTCGGCCACCGTACATATGCACTTACCTGTACATAGTAAATGCAGTTATTTTTAAGCGGTTGTTGACATCCTATCTAAAACGTGATTTAGCCAAAAAATAAAAAATAAAAATAATAATAATGTTACCACTCTAATATGTCTTGCAATATCCATGTGTGCAAAGGTTCTGTGCGATCCTCTTGTTCAATATTCTCTGGGTCTGAATCCGGTTCAAATTGATATGGCAATATTGACGCCATCCTTAACTAAACTTGCTGCTTTAGCAAGGGGCGGGGCAGTACTGAAGCTGTTCGCCAATCACAACGCACTGGGACAGCTAACCAATCA